CCCACCAATACGCCCACAACATCTAGAGGGAGTTGGGGGGGGGGGGGGGCGGCGGGGGGGGGGGGGGGGGGGGGGGGGGGGGGGGGGGGGCTTAAATATAAACTCCAATACGCTTGTGACCAGAAAAATTCATTAGCGCTGACGTAATTAGAAGAAACAAACGTTGGTCTAACATAAAAAAGTATGATCAATGAAAATAAACATATTCTAACATTTCCAGTTTAAAAGTTTACAACGAAGTGAATCAATGTTGCTTGTAGTACACATAAGGCAGAGATGTCCATGGCGGTGCAGCCGCTACCGCTGCCGCACCGCTACCGCCATGGCGGTAGCGGTGCGGCAGCGGTAGGTTTTTAAATAACCGAAGCGGTACCGGTGCGGCAGCGGTAGGTTTTTAAAAAGACCATAGCGGTAGCTGCGCGGCAGCGGCCACTTATTTTCTTTTACCGTCACGGTGCGGCGCGGCAGCGGTTGACGTTTTGAAAAAATTTGTTAATTTCTTCCTGTGATTATCTATAACAGTTTAGATTATAGTTCCATTATGATTCAAATTAGAATGGATTTTTTGCCTCAATCAAGAGATTTCAATTCTTCTTTCATCGTGTAAGAGAAAATACTAATGCCAGCATAGTATAATTATATGGTGATCTTATCTGAGAGCATGCTCATAAAGTTTCTAAAATACTTATTCTATAGTATTATGATTGTTATACCTATCAATTGGTCATATTTTCATGTAATATAATAATTTTTAGTGCGTGAGCATTTCTCACTAATGAACACTAACTTATTTTTAACTTTTGGTCAAGTGAATTGGCATCTTCGGAATTTCGTTTTTGAAATATCTTCCCCGAAAGCTTTTTCGATACCTGCTACATCTTTAAAAACCGAAAGAGTTTTTGGTTACAATGGGACTGTATTAAACAATAGACGATAGAAACTATTACGTGATCAAGTGAATAGTATGCCGATTATCAGAAGAACTCGAGAAATCTTAGGAAACACAAAATAAACTCATTCAACGTGCAAATGATTACTTTCTTGTAGAAGATTTCTATATGAAATTAATTTTTAAAAATATAAAATATACTAAATAGTTGAATCGATTCTCCAGCGTCTTTTTTGTAACAGATGAATGCCGTTTTTGTATCAATCACAGGCAAAATATTTTCTTGAAACTCATACATATCGAAGTAATAAGTCGTAGTATTCTAGATCATGATATCGCATTCTATTTCATTTTGCTCCTTTGGCACTATATAATCTCATACTGAGTCTAGGTTTCCATAATTTCTTGCTCTTTCTTCTGCGAAGTATCCTTTGTGCGAATGGAAAATGAATATGTTATTTGATCTGTACCATTTTTTTCTATATAATTAAAAATCTTATGATTTCAAACGGTTTTGATTATTCAATGTGTGCTTAGTACTCGGCTGAAGCTTTAATGAATTCGTAATTGTAAGCGGTTTCGTCATCTATCAATTGTATAATACATACGCATGTTTTTATATTAGAGAACAGCAGACAATGAACGCAAATATTTCCGAGTACTTTCTTAATTTCGCCGTAGCATTCTTTTATGCTTTCACAGATACAGAACCATATGACTTTCTACTCGTAATATCAGCAGCTACAAATCGGCACACTTAACTTTTTGATAAAGATGCTCCATAGAGAAAGTTAGAAAGTACTTTAAACAATCGCCCGCTCTTATAAAACGATCGTTAAAATGTCAAGTATTTTTTGTTTTTTGTCAAAAGAACATTTTAATCTAAGAATGAAGTGCACTGTGTTTTAGATGCTGGCGTTTCGCGAAAAACAAGTCCTATGATTCTATGTCTATCAAAGCATGGAATAATCCTAAGACGAAAATAAGCACTGTTAGAGTTAAAATAGCTTATAACCATTTCAACCGTTTCAACTTAATGGGTTGAATCGATTCATAACTGATTCAACCAGTTTTAATTCCAACAGTGAAAATAAGAAAGACCTGCGTTGTGTCTGAAAGACAGAACGTTCTAAAGACTATCCTATTCATAACGTCGCGGCAGCGGTAGATTTTTTTATTATGCGGAGCGGTGCGGCAGCGGCTCGGTGAAGTTCGATTTCAACGCGGTGCGGCAGCGGCGCGGTGACTTTCACTTTTCAAAGCATCGCGGCGCGACAGCGGTACAACACCAAATTCTAAAACGCATGACGGCACGGCAACGGTAGATTTTCAGCCGCGATGGACATCTCTGACATAAGGTAAAGGAATCTTTCAAGTACGAGCCAATCCACATTTATCAGTATAAAATCATAACAGTGATAAAATTATTATAGGGTTACATGTAATAAACTATTTATAGATACATCAAGTAGAATCGAATCAAGTATGTATTCAGCAACATCAGTTAACAAGCTCTGAAATATCATCATCATTCAGTCGCGTGGAAGTAAAGCTTCTGTTTCTGTTTGATGACAGAGAGATGTAACTGCGTTGACTGGGAAAATTTCTCTTTGATTCAAATCAAATTAGAATAATAATCTCAAGTACTATGGATTTCTTCAGAAAAAAGCTTTTCAAAATTTCCAAAAGTTCAACTGCTGCCGCGCCGATAAAAATAAATAAGCAGCCGCTGCCGCACCGCTACCGCTATAGTATTTTAAAAAATCTACGCGCCGCTGCCGCACCGCGCCTCCTTACTATAACAATTTTGCCGCTGCCGCGCCGCTCCCACTCCCGCTGCCGCGACGGCGGCAGCGGCAGTGCCGCCATAGACATCTATGGTTGTTTGGTTAAGATGACAGCTATTATCATCTTTCATCTTTCTATTTATATAAATTCTTCTTTCTGCTATTGTTATTAATAAGTTTATCAGGTCTGAACTGATATAGATGTCTTGCCTAAACATAATCTAAGTTTTACTCAGTGAGTATTTGTCAAAAGGTAATCAGAGATTGATGAAAAAATATCTGTAGAGTTGTAAAATGATCTTAATAAGTATCCTTTGAAGATAACTACTTGACTATGTAGCCTAACGAATCGAACACATGGCAAAGCTTTTGTAACAGATAAGGAGTCACCAGTTCCAATCTCCAATTATGTTGGTTTGTGACTGACCGAAGATGACTAGAATTGGAATTGCTCTTTAATAAATTGAAATCAAATTGTTAATAATGGAAATATGTGCGAAATTAATGATTCTACAACAATCCAACGTCATTTACACAGGCGCAGTTTCTTTTTCATTCTTTCCTTCTTATCTACGCGAGACCGTCGTTCTATCGACAACATTTGCTTACTCTAAAAGTAGACGAAACATTATCTTTCTCTCCCTCTTCTGTTGTTTGTGTTCTTCGATTCATTTTATCTGTTCATATCAATCATTACCATTTATCTTTTTCTTCGCATCTCCTCTTTTTTCTAAACTCTTTATGAATAGGATGGATTTCGTCGTAGACTTTCAGTAGGTTGAAAAGAGTAATTGTCCACTTTAGATGTGGTCCTCAATATTGTATAACCTGGTGATTTTATTGATTTAGTAGACTATGTTAGTTTTCGTCTGATTTTTTGTGAAGATCTTTCAAAATAGATGAAGTCTTTTCAATAGAAATGTGTAATACTAGCTTTTACTATTGCGATGATTTTGCTATGTTAGAATGTGTTCTCATTTTAACGATTTATTTTAGATTTGCTGTCGTGTCATCATAATTTATTGCACTTTATATAAGCTTGTCCACAACAGTATATGAAAATGCCGATACGTTTTGGTTCAATGTAAGCAATGAAGTATGCATTATCATCCATTCTTACGTACTGTTATTCTTCGCTTGCTTGCAGTTCTATTACACATCTCCTCTCGATAATTGTCAAAGATCAGTTTTCATGTTCCGAATGCCAAATGTGAAGCCAGTTAAAGTAAACTTATATTATCATATACCATATGAAGATTGTCGGTGCTCTGTTCTGTCAATCAAAATCTGTCTCACTGCTGAGTAGTTTAATTACTCTCGTATCGTACCAATAATTTTATTTGTATTAGAAGTTTATCTCATTCGAGAACTTGTTTCGTTCAATGAAAGTTATATATATATTCTTGTTAATGTTTACTGGATTGCTTCTATATTCGTTTTCTTCTGTATTTTAGTTATTACCTATCGAGGCAGCTATTATTATGATATAACTGCTAGAATCTATTCCTGCATAGCATTCTCATTATTTTTGTATTGTTCTACATCAAATACTGTTATATAATCAACAGTATCATAGTTAATGGTCAAAGATCTAAAAGAATCGATAACATTGTTTAATTTTGAGAACAAATCCTTCCATCTAATATAGATTACTCATCTGGAGGGGTCGGATCTTGATGTGACTTACCTATTCATTTGTATATGTTAATTATGTGTAGTATATGCATTACTTTTTGTAATGTTAATAAATTGACTTTACTCTCTTTGTTTCTGTTTCATTTACTATCGTTGTCAGCATAGGAAGATTGCAATTCCTTTGTAACTCATCATTTGTTATGCTGTGGTCCAAGTTTAGAAGATCTATTCTTAAGTGACAAAGAACTATTGCTACATTTCGACTCATTCTCAACCTTTCGAATGGCTTCGAATAAGCTTTTTTTCTTTAGTTGTCACTGTCGCTGGGTTAACTGTATTGAGTGCATATAAGACATAGAGTCAATAGATGAGAAATTGTCCTTTTAACAATGTAATTTCTGTTTTTTATAATGCGATAATTTTTCAATAAAACGGTACCACCAAATATAGAATATAAGATAGTGAAATTTTGTCTTCTTTTTCTTCTGAAATTTCAAAAATAAGTACAACTTGTATCATAAAACCAATATAAAACCATGATAATTATTCTTTTATAAATGCATGACACTGAATGATTAATAGTGAATCATTCTTATCAATGTCAATTGACTTTCTCGGAGAGACAAAAGTCAACTAAAAGAACGGAAGAAAGAAAATTGATGAATGTACATATTGGTAAAAACAGGTTAAATATGACTACCGACTGAACACTTAACAGAATCATCTCATATATCGAACAAATGTAATTTATTTGATTATTACGGAACTTCTTAAATTTTATAATCGTTATTACGTACAATAAAATATTGTATAGATAAAAGAGAATAATAATGGCGAATGCGTTCGATAACGAATTTTGATGAATCATAATAATATCATAGATTGCTAACTATCATTTATTTGATAGAGATTTTACTAGTAATGACAATTGAACAATTGTTGTCTCATGAATGTTGGTCGTTAAATACAACAAATCAATGAATGAAAAGAATTTTGAGAGAGACGAATTGATATAGATGTATAATTTGTTTTAAATGTTCTTTTATGTTTAATTTTGTATTGGATACCATGCTTTTCGACATCAATTGCACTCAAAACCCAACTACCTATTTAAAGGGTTAACAAAAGAAACCCACAGATAAAATACATCAGTTACTAGAAAATAATGAAGAAACAAAAAAATGTAATGTAGTATGATTATAATTTCTGTTAAAATTTGCTTGCGTAGATATATATAATTACTAATGATATGCAATGCATAAGTAAAATCAACATAATCGTTTTTATGAAAAATATAATAATTCGTTTGTTTGGTTTTTTTTGTGATGTATTCTTGAGGCTTTAGTTTTATTTCTGTAGCCTGATGATTTTGTAGTGAAATTCATAAAGAAACATCTATGTTGTAAAAAAAAGAATACAACTGGAATAATAGAGTATTGAAATCGATATCTTTTAATGATGAAACACGATATTTTGATGTATCTTACAATACAATACCTAATTTGTAGATTGAACATATGAATTAATATAAAAAGTATCTATGTTGATATGGGCATCCTCATTCTCAAGCTTATTTATTTTTTCAATAATTATTTGTCTTATTGTATTGTGTTTTGAGTTTTCTATCGTTTTGGATGTCTCATATACCACAAAAGAACTTTAATAGATTTTATAAAAATATATTACTACACAATAAGATTACGTGAAAAATTAAAAATATAAACATCGTGTACAACTAAACATAAATTTAACAATTGCTAATTTTATATTGCATATTTTTACAGACTGTAGACAGTAAAGTATGTCAACAAAAATAGTTGAAGCGTATCCTACTCGTATAACTGTTTCGAGAAGAGTAAGATATCAATGGGTAGATAGCTACAATAATCAGAAAATTATTTATTGTAGATAATATAACTTGGTTTCTTCCAAGTGAAATAGAAATTAAAAAAAAAGAAAAAAGTCCTTTTAGGATTTCCACGAGTGAAAAAAAATGTCTTCTTACATATAATTCGTTCTTCCAGGTATGACTCACAAAATATGTTACGAACAAGATATAAGGTTTTTTCCATAATATTCAAAAGGTAAAAAAAAGACTTGTTTGCCAGTAGATACTTTTATTATGAGTAATATGCGACCCATTATGAAATTTGAATTTTTATCAAATGAAATACTCATTGAATGTTCCGAATGTATCAATGCAACAGATGTTTTTTTTATTCATTTGAATTCCTCAATTATCGTTTTTACAAAATATTCGAAATATTCGATGTCTTATTTAAAGAATGGAAGAGTGCTAGAAAAGGCGCAAAAAAGAATGTTGTTATTATCTTTCTTCTTGTATAATAAAAGCGTGTGTGTTTTATTTTTCTTATAGAATAAAAAATAAACGTTCGTAGTTAAAGCTACTAATTGGATAAAAGCATTTTGTTGACCGATCGATTATCACATAATGTAACATGAACACCATAACGTCCATTCAATATTAATCCTTGTTGTGCAATATGAACCCACTGATTAAGTAATAACTTTTTCAAATTACGTGTTATATTTACCGAATTTTGCTTTAAAAAAAAGGAAAATAATTTTATTTAATAAATTAATTCATTTTCTTGTTTTTACTTACCGATTCATCATAACCATGTAAATAAAATGTTTGAACAAATGCTGATATTGTACAAAAATTTTTATCAATTTGTAATAATTCTGATGTATCAACAACAATTTCATCACCACAATCAATTAATTTAACTAATACTTTTGATCCATTTTCACGATGTCTAATTAAAAAGAAAATAACAAAGAAAGAAATGTCTTAGGAAATTTTCTTTTAAATTTACTTTATTATAACACGATAATATTTATCATGTTGTTCGATAACACATGGTGTACCATCCAAAATAACAGGTACAGTTAATGATTGATTATTAACAGAATTATTATAATATTGTTCAAGTTCTTTAGATAGAACTTCAAATTCATGTTGACGATTCTGAGAAAGACCATAAAATTCAGCTACACTACGAATTTTTGTTATTATATAATATCCATCATCTAAAGAGAGATATATTAATACAACCAATGAAAAGAAATAATCAATCTTACCAGGTGGTACAAGTGCCAATAGTCAATAATGAACCAATAGATGATCTGAAATAACATTAAATGAAGTCAAGATTAATTATTTAATTTTCTTAAATAAATATCACAGAATAATGTTTATAATTCGAACTTATTTTAATATTAAATCTGATGTATTTAAAAAGTATAATATCAACTTACAATGTACTCGAAGATTGTTGAGCAGTAGTATTTTGGAATCCCGTATTGAATGTGCGAGTTTGTAATTGTTGTACCATAGTATTTTGATTATTATAAAATTCAAGTTGTTGTGTAGGTCTATATTGTTGTTGTCGTTCTCTTGAAGGAGGTATTCCATATGAAAGAAATTGTGGTCGTACAAGTGATTGTTGTGGTGGTTGACCAGAACTAAAATTTGAACGTGGAGAATAGCCCATTGTTGCATGAGAAACCAAATTGTTATTAATAAGAAATGCACCGAGATCTCCTACTTCTAAAACAAAACAGAAGACAAGGAAATTTTATATGAATTCATTTGCTCGTCTTGGTTTTTTGTTTCAAATAGAATCTCGATCGAAGTCCTATGTTTCAATAAAATATATAAACATCGAAGATATAATAATACTTTTCTTTTCTTCACTGATTCATAGAAATTATTTAGAATAAAGAATCGATAAAAAAATACAGTTGAATAATCGAAAAGAATAGCAAACGAATGCGTAATTGTTATACGAACACTTTTACCCAGTGCTTCAAAATATTAAATGTAAATAAACAAACAAATTTGAGACTTTCAATCCATGCGACAGACATAGCTACAAATAGGAGTTGTTATTTTAATTATTAATTTATTATCTTGTTGTGATAACATGCAAGGATCTTAAAAACACTTTCGTAGGTTTTCTTAAGATATATTTTAATTTATAAAGTTCCACGAACTGAATAGATTTTTCTTCCTATAAGATTTTTCTATGAGATGTGATGTGTAGATTCTACAGTATATGAAAATAGCACCATTTATAAAATGAATGTCAATCGAAATTTAACTTTTCAAGAATCATTTTATCCTTTAAAGGAATCATCACTTACTAGGAATATCAATTTCAACATCATAACATATTTTATCTTGTTTTGAACATACTTTACAATTAACAGTATTAACCATAAGTCTAATAAATTTATCATGGACTTTATCATCTAATTTCCATATTGATTGTTCATTACCATTAATTGGACATACATTATATAAACGACATGGAATAGCAAATGCTGGTTTACTTAGAAATTCTTGTGGTAATTGACGAATATCATTTATTGTAATGCATTCTATGTGACCAATATCAAAAACATAAACACAGATGTTTGATAAATTATCTCGCACATCTTTTTCAAAAAAAACAACGGAGAATTAAAAAAAGGTTTCTTTTTCTATCATACCTAATATAACAGCACGATGCCATAAAGCACGACTATCTTGTACAGCAATTACTTGATATTTCACCGGTGATGATAATGTATGAAGATTTTGCATAGATTTTTGTAAATCGATTTGAAACTATTAAAAAAATATAAATATAATTTTATTTTAAAATAAAATTTTATTATTTACACTTGTATGAGAATCAAATTTTTCTTTAAGATAAACATAAAAACGAGTTGGACTTATATAATAAAGCATACAAATTTCATTTGGTCGAGTACAATCTAATATTTCCATCGAAATATCTTTAGAAAAAGAAAAAAAATACTAATAAATATGTCCATTTTAATAAACATACTTTGATAAACATGTTGATCATTTATTTGTACTACTGATCGTTCCATTTGATATCGTTCTATTTAATAGAAAAATAAATTTGAAAATCTAATAAAATTTAAAGTTTCATCATACCAAAATCTTTATTTACTGTTTTTGTTGATCCTTTTACTCTTATTTCAACTTCTGATATTTCTCTTATTTCATTATAATTGAGAAATCGTGCATAAAGATTTGATCTATTTAATTGTGCACGAAATTCATCAATAACATTTGATGGCCAACCATTTATTGGTTTAATTATATTTGATAATGTACAATGATGAGCCAGACGGTATGTTTGAAACATCCACTCCTAATAAGCAAAATAATTTTGCAAAACAGTATCATCAATTTTTCTCAACGATTAACCTGCAATCGCAGAAGAAATTGTACACGAATACGTTGTACATCACCATAATCTATTCGATAAATTGTTGCAAAACCATTTGAATCTAATTGACGAATTACACCACGATCCCAATCTTTATCATTTATTGTACATGCACAATAATCACCTACATGAAATGTTTCATTTAATTGTGCAGATGTTCTACCAATAAAACAAATTATATTTATTTAAGAAAAAATAAATATATTACATACGTTGATTCTTTCGAAAATGCTTCAGTAAATTGTGGAGCAAGATTAAATACTTTCTTGTACGACCATGATGTATATAAATAAAAATCTAGGAAGAAAAATTATGTTAATTAAACGAATATTTATTAAAGAAATAATAGCAAACCATTTAAATCATTAATATGACCAGCAAAAACTCGCGCCTCTGAACCAATAACAAAATTTGAAGAACGAGTAGCATTAACACTATTAATTGCCATCGCTATATAATAAAATGAACATAAACGGTAGCTGATTATTTAATCGAAAATATCTGTAACCAATTAAAGTTCAAAATAGTAAAAAAACATCAGTATGAAGAACAGAAAACAACCTATTACAAAATTATCCATTAAATCGTTTGTTTTCCTTTCTTATTCTTCTTATCGATCTATCTTTCTAATAAATAATTCAACAAATAAAATAGTAATATATTATTTACAGGAGTCGTTTCATTAATGGTTTTACCTAAGAAAAAAAAATCAAATAAACATTCAGAACAATATTTATATTTTTCCGAATACTTAAGAAACCATAAGTTTATATGCATAACTAAAAAAATTCCATTGTTAAATCTACTCTTCTCAGGGGCGTAACTTGGTCGTTAAGGTAGGAGGGGCGTAACCCCCCCCCCCCCCCCCCCACACGC